TTACGTTTCAAACTCTCTCTCTCTGAAGAAAATGTTACTCAAAATACATAGTACTCGAAATACATAGTACACGTATACTATAGCATACAGAATAAAATCTTCCTAGGAGAGCAAGTTTTAGAATAAGACTAGAAATAAATTATGCATGGAGTAAGGGCTGCCGCAAACAAAATTTCTGTAACAATAAGACATAAACTTAAACTGACGTGAATGAGCCAATCAGGATACTGCTTTAGATCTATGTACTCTAAGGGTGAAATAACACGGTGCGGAAAAGGGCGGAACAGAGAATGCGTCATTGAAACAACTAATTAGCGCTATTCGAAATAATGCAGAATAATGCTGATTAATTGCTTTTATGACGCATTCTCCATTCCGCAGTCATTTTTCTGCATCGTGTTATTTCATCCTAACGGAAATAAAAATAGCAGTAAACTTATCCATAAGGCAAGTTTCAACGAATTGAAATTCACTTTATTGCGAGGTTATGTTTACTGTTATTTCCATTTCCATTAGATTACATAGACCTAAAACAATAGTCTGATTGACTCTGCTTAAGTTTACATCTCACTGGTTTAGTTTCTACCGGGGGTTTAATCCAAATCACAAGAATCAATTAATTACAATCAAGTATTTGATCAGAATGTAAGAACCAACCAATTACGGTCGGATCGTCAGGTCGGATCCTTCAATACGCGAAAACTCGCATACAGCGATACGCGTCATGGAAACGGCATCCAACTGATTAATTTTCTCTGCTGAATGCACCCATACAGTACAGAAGATTGAAGCAATATTGCAGATTGCAATGTAACATTGCAGAGATATTATAGAAATGTAAATTAACAATATTCCTGCAAAATGTCAATAATATGCCTGAAATATTTCATAAAATTACAAACTGTAATTCTTTAATTGTTACAATAATAATATATTAGGTGTTGGAATTAATTCGTAGCGTTTTACAAGTGATGGGAAGTACTTTCATTAATGTATTTTTTAATGCTCATGTGAAATAAATAACATTCTTTCATTAAAAAACGCTACGAATTAATTCCAACACCTAATAAAAATATAAGTTTTTATGTATTATACAAATTTATGTGATACAGTTTCTTAGATTAACAGTCATTTTTATATAATAATTAATATAAATAAATTTATTTATTTTATATTTAAATAAAAAATTTATGATCTATTATTTGACGGCCATTTCATTAGCTAAGTTTTATATTTATTTTAAATATGAAATCAAAAGATTGTATAATATAATAGAGTTTGGATACAATCAATGCATCATTATCGAATAAGAGGATAAGTAACTAAGCTGCTGAAAACGATTTATCGAAATATGAATTATGCGATCGATGATGTATTTATGCCTGATGTGAACGCAAGAATAAACCAGTGTCTGAAGTTTATTGATAAATTTTATACCGTCATTTTTTAATTGATTTTAGTTGATTCGGAATGGTTTCGAATTAAAAAGAATCACTGCGATTAACTTAATTCATGATTAACTTACCAAGCGACTGTATTATTATATTAATGTGGATAATATTTGTAATTTTTTTGAGACACATACATACTTCATCCTTGCGAATAAATTTATCCTTTAGAATTAATACTATATTTATTGGAATATTTTATGATTTTATCATAAAAAATTGCTTTTGGAAAGCAATGTGATTTGTAGAAAAATTACAATTAGTGAGATATATATATAGAAATAGTTTTAATTTTAGAGAGTCTTCGTAAAAATTTATCCAAATACATTACATTGCAGTACTGGAACGTTTTGTTGCAATCTAAAAAGCGGACATCTTAATATTGTTGGAATTTTACAACAATGATTCAGCAACGATAATTTCGCAACCATCATGCAATATTGTTTCAGTAAAATCATTCTGCAATGTTTCTACAATTTTTTTGTGCTATATGGGCAGCTATTGATCCATTGTTACAATTTCAGAGATGTTCTTCCATGCCCATTTCAGCAAAGTAAAGGCTGGGATTTGAATGTAACATTCTGCTACCTTTTTCATTAAAAAAAAAATACAATTGTCTGTTACTAAATCACATAGTTAAAGTCATCTAGATAATAAAATTATTAATGTAGATTTAAAATTTATTAAACTGTTATATGCGATAAGAATGAAAGATTTTTAATTATAAAACATATTCATAAATATTTCTTATATTATTATGCGAGCAGAATATAATAAAGATAGAAACAATTATAATTTATAATTATCTCTCATTGTTATTACAAGCTGGCCTCTGTATTTTCAGACGACGATTTATGATGGAAAACGAAAAGATGTTTTGGCTGGTATTGCTCTACAGCTTCTAAAAGACTATCTGGATAACCAGGTGAATAGTATCTGAAACAATTTGTGATACACAAGTTTAAGAAATGAAAAAAGTTTATGTTCTTTCAGCTATTGTCTTTAAAAAAAATATTGACAGGTTGAAGCCAATCAGGACCAACACTGGTTGACCGGCATATATAAAAATTTGTTTGTACTTTAATAATTTTAACATTTCGATTCTCGCGCGCTTTTAGTCCTCTTCAGTGTATCACTGAATTTACAAATTAATGATCATGGACAAAAGTGTCCATGTCACAAAGAAATAGTTGGAGAAAATAATAAATGAGAGAAGTACCATGAGTAAAATTAATAAAACACCTTAGTATTTAGTAGAATACCTAAACGTTTAATCAACTGTACTGTAAAATTAATATAAAAAGTTGATGAACGCAACAAGTAATTAAAAATTACAATAAATTAAACAATAATAGTCAATAAATTCAAAACTTACATTGAAGGTTGTCATAGGCTGTGTTCAATAAACTATTGAGTAAGCACTCACTGTTATTGACGCAGCGTAAGGGTATATCTACACAAACTTGCATAGCCATATAAACGTATGCATAAAAAAAATTATCCAATCGCATTTCTCCTATAAAGACGTATGTAAAATGTGATTGGATAATTTTTTTATGCGGCTATGTATTATAAGTTGTGTGGATATACCCTAAAGGCCGCAGCACAAACTTTTGCATAACGCATAACGCATAATGCATAAGCGAATCAACTAATCAGATTCTTTCTTTTCCTCCCATTCCATGGAAAAAAAATTTCGATTGGTTGATTTCCATATGCACTATGAAAGAGTTTGTGCTCTTTGTTTAATTTGCGTAAGAGTCTCATTACTTGATGCATGGAAATGCAGAAATGCAGAGGACAATATTAACTTACTAATTTAATTAAGACTAATTAATTAATGTAATAACACCCTAAGCGTAACTTGCGTCAATCAAATCGTATCAAAATGCATCAGTTACTATGTGTTATTCCAATTAAAACGATTTGATTGGTTGACGCAAGTTACGCTTACACAAGTTACGCTGCATGTGAAAACAACCTAAATGTACAGAACAAAGAGATCCTCGAATCTTCCTATCTCATAAGTAATCAACAATCTCGAAAAATTTGGCCCTACACGCAAGGGAGGAAATATATCAGGATACAAATAAATATTGAGATTTCAACTTATTAAAAACCGTGTATTTCAATGTAACTGATATCTGATAGGTTAGAAATCTTAATATTTATTCCTATTCCTAATATTTCCTCCATTATGCACAGGGCTTTTGTCGTACTACAAGAACGCACAAATAGCAGCCTGAAGGTATCTTTTCATGCTGGCACACGCCGCTCCGTTAGCGTCAAATAAGTCACGTGATGAAATGCATGATTTAGGGTATATCCATATAAATTTCATAGCCACATAAACGCATACATAAAGAAGATTATCCCCGATTGCATTTCTCTTTTAAAGTGGCATGTAAAATGTAATTGGATAATTTTCTTTATGCATACATTTATATGGCTATGTAAATTGGTGTAGATATACCCTTATGCTTAATATTCGTCAATTTCTGTCACGCGATTTACTTTGATATTGAAAATGAATGTCAAGCGTCAGCATGAAAAAGCACCTCTAAAGTGCGTGAGCGTGCAAACCGTAAACAGATTTCGAATCAAGAAGTCTGTTTTTTATTGTTATACTTTAAATCCTGCCAATAAGGGTGGAGTCTCATGAGATATATTTGACGTGTATCGCGTATCGCGTAATCAATCAGCAATCAGTAAAACACGATACCAAACAGCAGTGGATCGCTTCTGACTGATTACGCGGTTACGCGATAAATACGCCTCATGGGACTCTAGCCTAAGTTGAAGTGCAACAAACATATAATATATTGGGTCATCTAAAAAGTATCCGCGGTTTTTTGTCACTAGATGTGCGTTGGTGGTCATATATCTAGTGACAAAGTACCGCGGATACTTTTTATATTTGTTTCATTTCATTGCACTGTGTGTACCACTGTGCAGAAAGTGCAGCAATAAAAAAAACAGACTTATGGATCGGTATCTATAGTCCGTTTTTAATCTCAAGAAATTTGTTCGCGTCTCCAACATGTTCCAATGTGCTCCTATTATAGCTTGTACTCACTTCAACGAGCGTTAGAGTAAATGTTATAATAGGAACATTTTAGAGCATGTTAAAGCGACGCGAAAGGTCATTTCAAGCAGTGTCTTAAGATGCTGATATGGCTCTAAAGGCCGGTCTTATATTTAAATCTTAAGATGTCATAAACCAATCAGAAGGCCGCATTAATGACTTAAAACATTACTTAGAACCGCGACAAAATTTCCGTAACAGTAACCTTAAGACGTGAACTTAAGCTGATGAGTCAATCAAGATACTGCTTTAGATCTATATACTCTAACGGAAATGGACATAACTTATCCATTACATGGAGTAAACTTATCCAATCTTGCAATAAGGTGAATTTTAACCTGTTGAAACTCGCCTTATTGCAAGGTTATGGATAAGTTTACTGTTATTTTCATTTTCGTTAGATACGTAATCTAAAGCAGTATCCTAATTGTCGACTTAAGTTTACCTCTTACATATACTATCACGGAATTTTGTATGCGGCCTTAAGTCGATCTTAAAATAAGAACTGACTGAAAATATGAACACCAGCCTTTTGATTGGTTCATGACATCTCAAGCACTCGCTTAAGCTCTGTCGAATCTTGAGCAACATCTATGAATCCGTCCATGTGTGACAATATGGCAGGCGTGTCGTTTATCATTCGATCGATTTAAATTACGACATTGAGGAAACAGAGCCACGGCAGCTATTTGCAAACACTGGCTTCATAATGATATAGTAGCGCTTTTTAGCTTGGATTTTTAATAGACACGAAATTATTGTCTTTACCTATCGTGTAAGTATCTCAATTGTGATAAAAAAAGGTTATACAAGCAAGTAGTAGTTTGTATAGTAGTTAATTTATTCTATTAATGTTTGCTATGTGTCATAAATATCTGTCATTTCTTTTTCAAAGAAATTAGACTTTCATTTTGATTCTTGTACAAAAATGTAAGAATCACTTTGCGATATGAATCGGAGCTAGGTAATTATCAGTTTAACTTCCACAGCTCAAAAATCAATAAAATTGGACTTATTCGACGCTTATTTCTGCATGAAACGAAAGAATCTGGCAGGAAAAAATGTGTCGCTCTGCCCCGCGAACCGAGATTAAAATCGTTCAACTTAACAACTATTCAGGTTAAGATATCTGTCACATCGATGGTATAAACTAGAGGGACATGAGAACATGTAAGTGAGATTAGAATAAATATTTTCTGCTTTAATTATACAAATTCTCTGTTTTATAAATACAAATTCTCTGCTTTAAAAACAAATTCTCTGCTTTATAAACACAAATTTTCTGCTTTAAAAATATAAATTCTCTGCTTTAAAAACACATTATTTTCTCTTGTATAATTTTATAGTTTTTATAGTCTTGTATAGTTTCTACAGCAGAGAGTTTCTGTTTTAAAACAAAAAATTTGTATTTTTAAAGCAGAGATTTTGTTTTCCAAGCAGAGAATTTGTTTTAAAGCAAAGAATTTGTTTGTATAACAGAATATGATTGTAAATAAATGATTATAAATTATGATATTAAAGATAATTATTTTTTTATATGGATCAAAGTTTAGAGCTAACATTTCTTTTAAATAATCTATAACTATATACATGGCTATATCGCTCACGCCCATGTTCCTATAAATTTCAAGTTTAATAAATATAATTCAACTGATTTGTTCAAGTTGATATTATTATTTTACAATTTAAATAAAGAAATCTATCCTTAATCTCTTGCCTTTTATTTTTCGTTTAAAATTTTTTCAAAGTAAAAGTTAAAACTTTGTGTAAAAATTCCATTTATATATGCAAAGTTTGCAAAATCATCCGATTGTAATCCTTCAAATTTTGATTTCAACTTTTTTCTAATAAATTTAGACTATAATTTTTTATGTCCGATTATGATTTAATTCCGAGTTACGGTCTAACACAAGCGATCATAACTGAGTCATAGAACATAAGTTGTAGTAGATTAACAAAACATTGTGCATTGACCTATGACTATGACTCATGTTTCAGGACTCAGTTACGACTATCTTTGTGCTGAGGTCCTTTAGAGGATCCTAAAGTCATCTGTATTACCGATTAAATCATAATTTTTGTATAACAATTACTTTTTTCCTCTTTTACAGATTCGAAAATTCTTTTCCAGGATTAAAGTATATACAATACGTGTTTGTGAAGTGGAATTTATGCCGAAACAGATGACAAAAAATTTTAAAAGTGAGATCTTAGAAAATTTTTTTGTTCTCGGCATAAACTCTACCATGCAGACACGTATTGATGCGTATACTTTAATAACTAGTTCACACAACTAGTTCACTGAAAAGATCCGTTCACCAAAATAGTTTGTCGCGAATAGAGGCCTAGGTCTATCAGAAAGGTGAGGAAATGGTCTGATTGGCTGGCTAAATTACGTGATTCAGCGCCATTTTCTTATACACTAAGTAGAATTATGCCTACTGCATATTGAACGCGATGAACGATGAACGACGAGCGATATCCAATAAAAGTTCTGCTTTTTTTCACGTGACAATACAAAGCAAAACTCTCATTGGATGTCGTTTATCGCTCATCGCGTCCAGTATGCGGTAAGCATTAGCCCGGATTCTTGTGTGGACAATAACGCTTTAACCCCGAACGCTGATTGATGAAAAACGGGTGATGGGGGGGGGGGGGGGGAGTAAATTTTCCCGCCACAACCGGCTTTTCGTCAATCAGCGTTCGATGTCAGAGTGCTGTTAGATTTCGGGTTTAAGCTGCGATCAAAGTTTCACTTTAAATGCTTTGAAGCGTTTGATTGACCAATTAGAAGAAAGAATTTTACGAATTGACCAGCCAAAAAACACTTTAGAGCATTTGTAACATCGCATTAACCGTACCTTAGATTTTAGTTTTCAAAAAGAATTAATCTTACTTCGACATTTTGACATGTATGTAATACTTCTCGCATATATAATGTAGAATGGACTACGGATGGTGGGGGTAGAAACACCAGTAGAGTGAGAGGCAGATAAATGGATGAACGTTCTTTCTCTGTTTACTAAGCCTGATTAGTTGTTGATCCAGCAAGATACTGTTCCAACCAATCATCCATTTATCTGTCTCTCACTCTACTTGTGTTTCTACCTCCACCACTGCTATCGATAGTCCATTCTATATGTCGATGGTAATACTACATATATGCGTTTTGATTGATTTTGATTACTCCATGGTAAAAGAGAATGGCGATGATTTATCGATTTTTCGATTATCGACCGCACCTGTCGTTTCTCTGATTTATCTAGGACTTTAGTCGCAAACTACTCGTCCAACATTTTTTCACATGCATTGTATGTATCGCTATTGTGAACGCGTTAATGACTCGAAGCCCACTAAAGACCTTCTAATTAGAGTCTATTGTATGTGTTCTGTGTAGAGTCTGATCACGCTTTTGAAAATGACAGTCAGACATTTTTCTTGCGCTAGTTGTTTGAAATATATGATATTGGCCGCGGTCCGATTCACGCTCACACGCTTAAAAATCATTTTATCCTTGTTTATCAAATATTAAACGAAACATATGATGCTCATGAGCGTCGTCAGCATGAATCGGACCACGGTCATTATCTAGCCTTTTGACGACGAATTGTTGCAAAAAAGTGCGCAACAAATTATTTTTACTTAGAAAGACATACACAATAAAAAGGTTGGACTACGTATATTTCACCACGTGTTTACTTGTTCACCAGGAACTATAAAGCTTCTAATTTGACAATTGTCGCTCATCGATAAAGTAGTTTAATTTGACCTACTTCGTTTGAGAATTGTGAATTAGTTCATCTAGTTCACATAAAAGATTCATTCATTTTACGCTTTCGTTCACAAATTACCCATTTCTATCATACATCATACACATACGACCACGATACAAAGTCGACAATTATCGTGTCGCTACATTTCATCGCTATGACAGATTTCCTAACCTGAATAATCGTCAACTTTAACGATTGATATCTCGGTCCGCGGGATAGAACGACGCTTTTTTCTGCCAAATCCATCCATGCAAAAAATGGGTATAAGCCCAACTTTATTAATTTTTGTTCTGTGAGCTAAATTATATATTGGGTCATCTAAAAAGTATCCGCAGTTTTTTGTCACTAGATGTGTGTTGATAGTCATATATCTAGTGACTACAAAGTACCGCGGATACTTTTTAGATGACCCAAAAATTATCATCAAGAATTGTACACTGTGCATTTAATATTATATATAATTAATGACTCAACTCCGACAGACTGGTCTTCGAAAAGATTAATGAAATATTTTAATGGAAATTTGTAGAGAATTTTTCACACATACAAAATAGATTTAACAAGAGAATCAAAGATAATTATGATATTAAAATAATTTTGAGAAATGGAAATGATAGAAGATCATGCGTGTGGTAGAATTATTTTGTAAAAGAATATTTTTCTACAAGATAATCAATAAGCTCTAAAAAAAATCTAAAAAATAATAAATAAAATGCCAATTGAGCCAACACTGATTATTCGTGTGTATTTTATGCCATTTATTCAAAGTGAATAAAGTATTATAACGTATACGTTTCGATCTACGGTCAAAGTCCTCTTCACAGTACAGAGAAATTTACTTAAATTTACTTTAATTATAAAATTACATAATGATAGTGCATACGAGTATAAACTATCAACATATGAAAAATTAATGTATAAAATATAAAAAAACTGTGATAGTGATATCCGAATTAATTTTTGTCATCGAATTACTAAATTTACTAAAAAAAAAAAGGAAGAAACATTGAGAGTCATAGTTTCATCTGTTGGAAGCCGCTCCATTATTTAGCATCTTTTCTACATAAGATCATTAATAAGAGTTTAGCTCCCCGGCTAATAGCTTTACAGTTAACAGTTATTTTTTGAAAAAAAAATCTCGAAATTAACAATTCCTGCTTAAATTTCTCTTTTATCTCTAGACGTAATATCACTTTTTACTAATATTTACCAATAGATCTAGTTCTCGATGGAATATCTAATAGATAGTATCTTATAGAAAAAAATACTGACATCTCAAAAACGGAATTTTTGAAAGCACTAAAATTAGTTGAATTCTACTTTTTTCAAGTTTAGTGACAAATTTTATAGACAAACTTTTGGTTTACCCATGGACTTTCGACTATCTCCCATACTTGTTGATATAGTCATACAGGACTTAGAGTCAGTTTCGTTAAATAAACTTTCTGTGACACCATTGTTTTATGTACGATATGTATGACGACATTGCTTTAGCTATTGACAATGCTCAAATTGATTCTTATTAAATTTAATTCTTACCACCCAAGGCTACAATTTACAATGGAAATTAGTGGAGACTCATTAAACATTTGCTTGATAAAAAAAGAGGATACTCTTATTTTTGATTGATATCATAAACCTACATTCTCGGGTCATTTTCTCAATTATTTCTCATGGCATCCATTCTGTCAAAAAATTGGTCACGATTATTGGTTTGATTGATAGAGTTTTATTACTTTCTCATCCAAGTTTTCATAAAAAGAATTATGACTTAATTATAAAAATTCTTCTTAATAATAGTTAGTCCCTAAGCTTGATATTTTAACTATTAAAAAAAGACTACAATAAATTCGATCTTTTTAATCATATTGACGATAAACATTTTTTACTGATAAACAATTAACAACCCTGATAAACAATTAACAACAAGCAGAAATCAATAATATAAAATTTTTCTCTATACCATTTATTCCTAATATTTCTAATAAAATCAGTAATTTCTTAAAACATGTTTTATACGTATGGCCTATAGAGACATAAATAAGCTTAATAAATTTATTAAAGTCCAGAAAGATGCGCTACCTCAATCTAATGTTGTATATAAGATTGAGTGCAAGGACTGTGATGCATCGTATGTTGGACAAACAAGCAGATGCCTTAAAACGCGCATAAGTGAACATAGGAATCATATTATAACAAAAATATGACCCATCATTCGGTTATCGCACAACATCGTATGGACTCATTTCATGAATTTGTTTGGGACGTACATATTTTAGACAAAGAGCAAATTTTACATAAAAAATTGTTATCAGAGATGATACATATTAAAAAACAGACTTGAATTTACAAAACGAGACACTTTCTCTTGATCCGTTATATATAGATCTATTTTCAGAGACGTAATGCTTCCAATCTATATCGTTTATCCTTGGTTATATTATTTATTATTTATACTTATTGTAAGTACATGTTCTGTTGTCCACTGTTTCTCTCAATTTTCATTTTACATTCATCTACCAAACAGTTAGGTCGTGTCTAATAACTCTTAATTTGTTTCATAAGTGAACTAAAATTTGATTTTAATTATTATTTATATTAACTTTTTAATTTATTCATAATTGTACTACACAATAAATGGAACAGTCTAATGGAACATGTACAACTTATCTTAATGAAACAGTTCAATCTTGACAGTCAAGTAAGTTTATTTTCATATTTTTTTGGATAACTTCATGTTAGCAATTTAAAATATTTTTTATTTTCTTTTGGTCGGTCAATTCAAAACAAAAAAATCTCTTTTCTTTTTTAGTAAATTTAGTAATTTGACCAAGATTAACTCGGATATCATTACCACAGTTTTTTCGTATTTTATACGTTATTAGTTTATTATACTCGCATGCGCTATCATTATATAATTTTATAATTAATAGTTTAAGTAAATTTCTCTGTACTGAAGAGGACTTTGATCGTAGGTCGAAACGTATGCGTTATAATATTCATTTTGTATAAAATACACATGAATAATTAGTGTTGGCATTTTATTTTTTAGAATATTTTTATAATTTATATTAAACGATGAAGATATAGAAAAGGAATATAACCTGACGATCTCTTCTGGGAAACAGCAGTTAATAATTGTTATATATTCTGACAGGGTAGTACCCGGTTCAGCTTGAATCTCTTGTATCTTTCTTAAGGCACCAGATGTTACGAACAGTTTTCTTGCCCTTGTATCATTCGGTAAAATCTGTATGCGTAGAAATATAACATTAACAAATTGAACAAGCGGAAACAACTGAATTATTTATTGAAGAATTATATCGTTTCTCACAATAAAAAAGTCGACTTCAATGAATTGAGAATACATCTTATGAGTTAGGAGAATCAAATGAGCAGAATCTAACTAATTCTTTTTACTTGTTGCTAAAAAGTTGTCAAAGAAAAAATTTATGTATGCCAAAGTAAAAATTTATTGTTCTGTTAATTTTATTATTTCGTTAAAGAATTTTAATTATTTTCTTAAAAAATGTTTTTCGAGATAATATTTTCGCTATAAAATTGTTTACACAGATTTTATATTAAGTTACTTAAAGATTATTGTAATGATGTCTATGAGCATCAATGTTATTTGACTGAATCAGTAATTACTGTTTCCAGTTTTGTTAAGATTGCGTTTCAAATCTGAAAATAAATTCGACAGTTTGCAGGATATAAATTTACATTACAGAATTGTTTCAGCACTAAAAATTTGACCGCTTATCCAGATCTACAATAGGTATTTTAAGTCTTAAAGAAACTATAAGAAATTGATCAATTAAGGGGATGGGCGGAATAAAGGCATAATTCTACTTAGGCCCTTTTTTGGAGATTAGCTTTTTTATATAATATTAATCATAATAGAGAAATATTGTAACATGTATGTAACTTTTTAGAAATACATAACTTCATTTGAACTGTACCCATGTATAATGTGTATAATAAAAAAGAGTAGCAAGTTATTTTAATTTTTGTTAAAATTAAGATTTTATGATTAGACCTTTATTCTGCCCATCCTCTCATTCCCTACAGTCGAATGCGTGGAGAATAATTGACTATGATTCATCCATTTTTTTTATGGCTTAAGGTTTAGATGAATCTATTGTAGATCCTCCTTTATTTTTTAGTTATTAGGTGTTCACATGACAGTCTAATATGATATCTTAATATTGTTTGAAAAAAAAAATGTTCTGTAAAAAAAAATTAACTATTCTATTAAGCTAGAATGCCAACACGAGCGTAGTTACATGAGACATACAGAGGATTTAATGCTCTTTTTATGTTAATTTATTGCTCTAATTCCAATTTTATTGCTCTAGCTGTTTAGTAAGAAATAATTTTTTCTGACTTAATAAAGTTAGAATGCACATTAAAAAAAAAACGAAAACAAAAATACACTATAATTTAGTGTTAATGTGCTACGTGCTTGTAATATAAATTAATTTAAACTTCGGAGCGCAAAAAAAGTTACCCATTTACGGAAGACAATACCTACATCATACATATCCCTTTTGCTGTAAAACTAATCAGCAGAATTTCAAGAAACTTTCTGTGAAATATCATGCTCTTACTACGAAATGTGCTACATAGGGACGATTTTTGTGCTCTTTTATGCGCGAAAATCTCCCCAAAGCGTATGTCATACAAAAGAGAAGTATTAAAAATAACGATTTCGAAATTTTTTACATTGTAATACCTTTACTGATTTTATCGCTCACAAAATACATATTGACCAATTTTATTATTCTACCTTCATTTGCGAAAAACAACCTCCTACACCATAGCCGGTATTTATAATCAACAGAATTTCATGAAACTTTCTGTGAAATATCGTGCACTGTTCTATAAAAGTTTTTCAGTATTTTAAAGAATTTACATGTAAATGTTTTAATGGGGGAAAACTTTACTTATACGTTACATACAATTGTATATACAAAGAGTTTTATTTTTTCTCATTTACACATTTGCATAAAAACTTTAAAATACTGATCGACTTTAAAGTATGTGTTGAAAATTTCGTCCTTTAATATTTTTTAATATAAATACTCAATATTTGTTATTATTTATTTATAAAGAACGTCGTAACAGTTTTACGACAAAAGTCGTAATCTTTTTTGTTACTGAAACGGCCAGGTTTGAGTGGCATGTGAAAATGCAGCTATAGAAGTCTGTGGATTTTTTGCTGGACATGTACTCTTTTGCTTTTTAGCATTCGGAGATGTCCGGTCGAGTCAATGTGTCCGGGGAGTACCCTTTTTAGTATTCATTTTAAAAGAGAACGAAGGGACCAGAAATTATTAAATTTATCGTATATAAAATATATAGTAAACTCACTAAATCTGTGTATCTGTGATAAAGAAATGTAAAAATTATTAGGTATTATTATATTATATTATATTATATTATATTATATTATATTTTTTTGCTAATATTAAATAAATATATTTTTATTTTCTTAGGA